ACAAAGGGAATAAACATGTGTATAGCAAAAAACATCTATTAATGCAATACGTTTCGTGAGAAATACATGATTTCCTGGAGAAATATCAAGGGTGCCAACAATTTCGGCCATGACTGTATATTATATATGTGTGTGATTTTGCATTTCTGGGTAGGGGGCGCACGCGCCCTACCTGCACTGCCATTGGTGGCCTCAGCTATCAATCACCAGGGCCTGCCCGCTGATTCCCTCTGGCACCCCTGTCAGCTCCTGCACATTGCTTGGTATTGCATAGCAGAGATTTTCTGACACAGTGAAACACACACACAGTACACAGTAAAACAGCACACAGCACACAGTTAACCCTTCGATCACCCCAGATGTTAACCTCTTCCTACCCAGTGCCATTAGTACAGTTAACCTTTTGATCACCCCAGATGTTAAACCTCTTCCTACGCAGTGCCATTAGTACAGTGTCAGTGCTTTTTTACTAGCACTAATCACTGTATTGGTGTCACTGGGGATGTCAGTGACACCAGGTCAGTTCACCCCAGTGTCAGAATGCGCACTGCAGTCCCGCTATAAGTAGATGATCGCTGCCATTACTAGTATAAAAAAAAAATTCCAGTATAAGCTATAACTTTCACTTAAACCAATTAATTTACATGTATTGGGATTTTTTTTTAGCAAAGACATGTAGCAGAATACATTTTGGCCTAAATTTATGATGAAATTTGATTTTTACATTTTTTATTGGATATGTTTAATACCAAAAAGTCAAAAATATAGGTTTTTTTCCAAATTGTCAGTCTTTTTTTGTTTGCAAATAATAAAAAAGGCACAGGTGATCAAGTACCACCGAAAGAAAGCTCTATTTGTGGGAAAGAAGACAAAAATGTAATTTGAATGCAGTGTTGCATGACCACGCAATTGTCAGTTAAAATAACGCAGCGCCTTATCGCAAAAAATGGCCTGGTCAGGAAGGGGGGTAAATCCTCTGGAGGTCAAGTGGTTAATATACTTAAAGTGTACATTTACACCCCTAAATCAGTTTACCTCTCTGCACTCCCCACCCATCTGTAAAGTAAAAAATACTTTTTTGCTGTATGTTTGGTTTTTTCCTTACAACTCTCTGGCATAGGCGAGCATGATGTGTGCTCCTCTTGTAGCCTCCTGGGATATTCATGTTTAAAGTCTTACAGGCTCACAGTCTGAGTAGAAAAGCATGCTTCTGTCATGTTGCAGGGAAGAACCCTTGCTCTCTATGTGGAAGCAGGGGTTTCTCTGAAGAAATCCATGAATCCCCCGCAGCTGAGTCAGAGCATACGCTTTGGTGATTGTAGAGTTATAGAACTGACCAGTAGGGAACATATTGGACCTTTACAAAGAGACCATTGCTTCTACACAGAGAGCAAGAACCCTTTTTCATACAAATAGTAAAACTTTGAGCACAAGGTTTTTTGGAGTTTGAGAGCTGAGATAGAGTTTGAGGACCCACACGCATCCACATATCATTATGGGCACGTGTACCAGTAGGCAATAATGAAATGCTGGCGCATGTATTGCATGCATCCTTATGTTGGAAAAAGACAGCCCCCATGTGCCTTACAAGCATGACCCCCAGATACATGATGGGACTTTATACCCAACCATGTTACTGACCAGTTGCCAATTAACCTAATTAGTTGCAAACGTGTCTTCTAACTCTTCCTTTTTAGTACCACTTCCTTTACCAGCTTTTTGTTACCCTGCCCCAACTTTTTTGGGATGTGTTACTGTCATCAATTTCAAAATTACCTTATTATTTTTCTTAAAATGGTATATTTCCTCAGTTTAAATTCATGTTTTCTATTTTCTATTGTGAATAAAATAAGGGTTTATGAGATTTGCAAAGCATGGAATCCTGTTTTTATGTAGATTGTACACAGTGTCCCTACTTTTTTAAATCGGGGTGTAGTTCAGAGCAACAGCCGGAGGGCTGCAATTGCCCACCCCTGGTGTAAGTGCACCCAATAATACCACTGTCATTGGTGGCCATCATTAGTAGTAATGGTAAACCCTTCAACATTGGTGCTCAGGGGCAAGCTCAGGTTGCAATAACAACTACTCTCTCCCCCCCCCCCATTGGTGGTAAGACTATAACAGCACCCCCATCCCATTTTTCCCTCAGTGACAGGTTGTTACAAAACAATAACCCAACTCCCCTGAGCATTGGTGGTCAGTGGCAGGCTGTAACAATAAAATAACCCTTCCCCAGTTTTTGTGTTTAGCAGTTGGGCACTTTACTGTCGGGCAGAGATCACTCCATCTGCCAGTTCTGGCTTTTTTTAGGGAGTGATCAGTCACCTTGCATACTGCCGCTGCTACTCTGCTTGTTGCTGGTGGAGGCACCAGGACACCCTCCAAGTGGCAGTACCTGATGAAGACAATATTTGCCCCCCAGGAACACAAGTACGTTTTTTCACATCCTACTGCTTTCTCCTGTGTTTCATCCCTTTTTGTATCTCAGTGCTGCTGGACTTCCCCAGCTTCTTTAGCCAATTCCTGTCTTCATGCACTAGTTCCAGAATCAACTGCTTATCTTTGCTCTAGACCGGCTTCTAACAGTCACAATGGTGGATCACATGCCTGTTCAGTATGTGTTACCACAACCTCTTGGAATACAATTGGAAGACAGTTGTCACCCAACATTAGAAAGTGCAGGTAATCGTTCAATATAAGCTGCATAACATTTTTATAAAAGTTAAAAATAATATTAAAAGATTGAAAATAACTTTTAAAATTAACATTTTAAAGCTTATAAGAGATTTAGAGATTAGGTTTAGATATGCTTTAATACCTATTATATAACAGACAACATAACAAATTGGTTTACATTTTCTTTGGTGAATAATTAGCTCCTCATCCTTATATATTCTTCCACTATAAAGGATTTCTGTTTGATACATGAAACTATCAACTAATCAAGACAAAATGGTTATTTACATAGTTTTCAAGGAAATGTCCTTTCTATGTATTAATCAAAACGTTTGGGTCTATTCCAGCAATTAGCGCAGATGAGGTACATTTAATGAATGCCCAATTAGAACTTCAAGGCCCAATGTATCACTAATGGAGATTGTTACTTGGGCTAAGCTATGAATGTAGCTTGTCAACTATTGATTTGTAAAAGTTTGTAAATGAATTCCGTGCAAGTCAGCCGGATTTATCCAAAGTACTAACTGTAAAGTGCAATAACCCAACAGCCAATCAGAAATTGATTTACTGAAATCAGTTTAGAGGGCTTCTTTTTGGGTGTACGAAATGCTGAACTTTGCCCTTTACTTCTTGTGTGTTTTTTTTTTTTAAACAAACTTCTTGGCAATCATGAATTTGCTGCAAGAATTGACTGAGCAGAATGCATTTCTGCTGTAATAGTTTCATCCAAAACCATATCTGGCCGCAGGTGCGCGATTCCTTAAGAGTGAAAGCACAAGTCAGTACTTTAAGGTTGTTTAGAGAACAGACTTTTTTTTTTCTTCTTTTTTTTTGTTTTACAAAGCCTTACCTACTTTTTAAACTGAACCGTCATTCTGGTACAGGTTAATCTTAGTTTCATCAGTCCAAACATTGCTTTTCCAGAACTGGTCTGGCTTTTTTAGATGTTTTTTGGCAATGTCTAATCTGGCTTTTCTGTTCTTCAGGCTTACAAATTGTTTGCACCTTGTGGTGAACCCTCTGTATTTGCTCTTGTGACGTCTTCTCTTGATTGTAGACTTTGACAATGAGACACCCACCTCCTGGAGAGTATCCTTCACTTGTCTGGATGTTGTGAATTGGTTTTTCTTCACCATAGAGAGGATCCTGCGATCATCCACCACTGTTGTCTTCCATGGACGTCCATGCCTTTTTATGTTGCTGAGCTCACTAGTGTGTTCTTCTTTCCCCAGAATGGACCAAACTGTTGATTTGGCCACTCCTAATGTTGCTTCTATCTCTCTGATGGATTTGTTTCATTTTTGAAGCCTTACAATGGCCTGTTTCACGTGCATGGACAGCTCCTTTAAACGCATTTTGTAGGTTCACAGCAATAGATTCCAAATGCAAATACCACACTTAGAATCAACTCCAGACATTTTACCTGCTTAATTGATGAAGAAATAACCAAGGAGTAGCCCAACCCTTCCTCCAATTTGGATGTACATATCTTCAAATTAAACCTGAGAATGTGCACTTTCAGCCCATATCCATTATGTAGCTATAGCTTGAATATGTTTTGTTAAATATCTGAAAAAATAAAAAATTGTACCTGTGTCCAAATATATATGGACCTAACAGTATATTATAGCCTTTGTTGGCTGTTGTTGGCTATCGATCTTTATCCTGTTCTTCTGTAATAGATTAACCACTTGCCTACCGGGCACTTATACCCCCTTCCTGCCCAGGCCAATTTCCAGCTTTCAGCGCTGTCGCACTTTGAATGACAATTGCGCGGTCATGCAACACTGTACCTATATGAAATTTTTAGCATTTTTTTGTGACAGAGCTTTATTTTGGTGGTATTTAATGCCCTCTGTGTTTTTTTTTTTTTTTTTTTCTTAAACAGACCTAAAACCACTGAAAATTTTGAAAAAAAAATGTTTTTTCTTAGTTTTTGTTATAAAATTTTGTAAATAAGTGATTTTCTCCTTCACTGATGTGCGCTAATGAGGCTGCAGTGATGGGCACTGATAGGCTGTACTGATGGACACTGATAGGTGGCACTGATGAGCACTGATGAGGAGGCACTGGTAGGTGGCACTGATGGGCATTGGCAGGCATCACTGATGGGCACTGAAAGGCAGCACTGATACATGGCACTGATACCTGGCACTGATAGGCGGCACCGTTAGGCGGCACTGACTGGCACCGTTAGGCAGCACTGACTGGCACCGTTAGGCGGCACTGACTGGCACTGTTAGGCGGCACTGACTGGCACTGTTAGGCGGCACTGACTGGCACTGTTAGGCGGCACTGACTGGCACTGTTAGGCGGCACTGACTGGCACTGATAGGCGGCACTGGCGCGCACTGATAGGCGGCACTGATGCGCACTGATAGGCGGCACTGACTGGCACTGATAGGTGGCACTGACTGGCAGCACTGATAGGTGGCACTGAATGGCATTGATAGGTGGCACTGACTGGCACTGATGGTTGACACTGAAAGGCAGCTCAGATGGGCACTGATATGTGGCATTGATGTGCACTGGTAGGCACTGATATGTGGCACTGATGTGGCACTGATGAGCACTGACTGCTGGCACTGATGGACACTGACAGGTGGCACTTCTGGGGCCACACTGATCATCAAGGCACACTGATCATCAGTGCCCTGATGATCAGTGTACATGTCCCCTCAGCGGAAAGCCGATTACTGGCTCTCCTCTCCTCTTGAGCTGTCAGCGTGACAGCTCGAGAGGAGAGAAATGCCGATAACCGGCATTTTTCCCTGTTTACATGTGATCAGCTGTGATTGGACACAGCTGATCATATGACCGAGCCGACATCTTTGGCTCTTTCCGTGATCGGTGATCCGCTGTGTCCGAGGGACACAGCGTACCGCCGATCGCCGCGCTCCCTCAGCCGCGCATACGCAGTGAGAATGGGAGGACATCATATGACGTCCTCCCAGAACGAGAGAGCCACCTTGCGCCCATCACATTACTATATGGCGGGCGGGAGGTGGTTAAAGTATGTCAGTAGAGCATTGCCCACATCACTGCAGTATGTTTCTGCTGATTGGTGCTTTATTAATATTACTATTACAGATAGCACAGTGGCTAAATGGTTAGTACTTCTGCCTGGCAGTACTAGGGTCGTTGGTTCAACCATGGCACCACCTCCTTGGAGTTTGCATGTTCTTCCTGTGCCTGTGTGGGTTTCCTCCGGGTACTCCAGTTTCCTCCGACACTCCAAAGACATGCTGGTAGGTTAATTGTCTCCTGTCTAAATTGTCCCTAGTACGTGTATGTATGAATGTGAATTAGGGACCTTAGATTGTACACCCCTTGAGGGTTATGGACTGATGTGAATGTACAATATATATATGTATAGCACTGCGTAAATTGATGGCGCTGTATAAGTACCTTAAATAATAAATATTGTTTAATACCTAACCCATAAAAAGTGCTTCTTTTATTCTAGTTCTTTAAAATAAAAAAAAATTCTAAACAGGCTTCACAGCCGTTGATCCTCCCATTTTTCACACCCATGTGACCATCATGATCATGCATGTGGGTTAGATAAAAAGAAAGTATTAAAGCAGAAGTGCTCCTCTGCCAATCCAGAACCTTGTCTTCTTGTTCCACATGAAGTGCAGAAGACTCACGTAGGGTGGCTAGCTATGAGAAATATAGAAAGATCACTGCTTCCTGAGAGTGATTTCAGGGCATGAACAGAGTGGCAACAGAGGCGACTGGGGATTGCTGCAATACTGTTGTGATTCTGCGTAAGGGGACCTTTCAGGATCATCAGATAAATAAAAACGTACAATGGTATTATGAAATAAATGAATAGCAGCCATATTTAGATATAGTCATTTAATAGCTTATTATAACTTTCCATGTTTTAGGCCTAATGAAACGTTAAGCTTTTAAAGTAATGGTATTCAGTTTGCTAAAGCATTGTGACATTGTGAATTATAACAGTTGTCATTTTTAAACAAAGTCATTTTTTTAACCATTTTTTTCTCAGTGGTGCTTTCTCCTGCTACCTCTTTGCAACCATTTATTGTCTACATATATGCACTCCTGTGATGTCTGCATGGCATTTCTTTCCTTTTTATTTCAGCACTAGCGTACAACCTTATCTTTTCAAAGCAGTGCACCACTACCTATGTAGAAACCAATACTGTCTTTTAAAAACCTAAACTGCTATGTTGCTGTAAATTAAATGAATATTGGTTTGATGTTAAAGATTCAATTTATACTACACTCTAAACCTAATCAGGTGTCAAGGTATATTCTTAAACATACCGTTTTAGGCTGTATTTATTTTTTTAGTTATTTTTTTAGCTGATAAGCAATGCCAGTTGCAGTTTGCTACCTAATAATTGTTCTGCCCTCTATCTGCTTTTAACATTACATGATGTCTGGACACTGCATAGAGTCAAATTCATTTTTTTTTTCATGCAGACCAAATGACTAGACTTCAGTACTTTTACAACATGAAATCTAACTTTATCAAATTTTTATTGTACCATGCCAGTAAGAGTGGAATTCTAAAAAAAAGTCCTTGTTTAGCTCTTCAGTTGGGCTGGACATGGATCTCACCATAGATTTGCCCTACAACCTAATATGAGGATCTTGTCATATTCACCAGGGACAGCTTATATCTTCCATGTATCACCAGTATTATATTATGTAAACTGAATACAAAGTACCTGTCTGAAGGGTTAATAACTGTTTGTGTTTCAGCCTGTGCAAGGGAAGAACATTATACTCAGTGGTTCGAGATGCAAAAATAGTTTTAGATGTCAACAAGACCAGACAGATAGCACAAGAAATTGTGAAGGTAAGTGTTCATTTCAGAAAAAGGTTACTTATCTGTCATTCTACACTTGTCCTGAAGTCCCTTTCTCCATTTACACCTACATTGCAGGAAATAAACAATAAATGTGGAGAACTGCTAAATTACAGTAGATCAGGGGTGTCATTCAATTTCAATGCAGGCCGCATCAGTATTATGGTTGACCTCAAAGGGCCGAATGTATCTGTAATACTACATGTCCAGAGCACCCCACATCCCCCTCTTACATCAGATGTCAAGAGCCACCAAACAATTAGGAGACAAGAGGCTTCCGACCCTCCTTTACCCTTTGCCCCCTTGCCTTATGCTGATACTGGAAAGAAGCTGGGACGGAACTGGGATGAAGAAAGTGCAGGGTCTAGAGGAAGACCAGGGAAGGACTGGAGTAAGCTGCTTGAATCTGCTAATTGCTGGGACCAGGGGAAGCAGAAATGAGGGGGTACTGAGGCTGCACAGGGAGGTGCAAGATGTGTAGGAGGACTCCTGTCTTCCTCTCTGCTGCCGACTGTTGAGACAAGGGGGTAGCACAGCTGCTGAAGAGGTGTGAGGGCCATATGAAATGGCCTGGCAGGCTGGATTCGACCCACGGGCCTTGTATTTGACATGTGCATAGTATATGCAAAGGGGAAACAAACTCTCCTATCATTTATAGCCATGGAGGTTGCCATCTTAGCCTCTGTATGATCTGCAATTGCCATGGTGCTGCTCATGTGATCAGTTATAACACCAGCCATTTGGTAACATGACAGTTTGGTTGAGGAAATAAATTATTGTGACAGTTATCATTCACAGAATGCCTTGAAAGTAAGTGTTTTGGAAAACCGTTAAATCGATGGAGCGGAACCAAACGCACTGATATTACTGTTTTCCAAAACAGATACATTCAAGGCATGCAACAAATGCTAACTGTCACATTTGCTTGGACTCTCAACGATCTCTCAACGTCTAACCATCAAATGGCTGGTGTCATAACTGATTACATGTGCAGCTCCATTGCAACTGCAAATCAGACAGGTGCTAAGATGCCACCTTCATTGGCTGAAAAGAATAGGAGGGTTTAGTTATGCTATAAGTGTGTGACATTTAGTTTGCTAAAGTTCTGTGTAACAAAAATAAGACGTTAAAGAGGAACTAGACCCATCCATTTAATGGATTCCCAAAGCAGGTACATTAAAGGCTTGCATGGTAACAGCAGATCAAACAGAGGCCAATATGGCAACTTCATTGGCTGTTAAGGATAGGAGGGTTTAGTTCCACTTTAGAGTGAAACGTTAGTAAAATTAAGCCTTGATAGATAATTTCATGCTTGCCCCTTTTGCAGGTAAAACATTAAAAATAAGTGCCTATATTGTTTAAAATCCAGTAATGCACTCACCCTCACCTTGTTCTGCACATGCTCAGTTGCTCTCTATTCCTGACACTGTGCCTAAAATCAGAGCCACTAGAGACTGATCAGCTGACAGCTTTAGGAGTTATTGTTGCATTGTTGATGAAGGGGGAAGAAAGCGTCAGGAATGGCACAAACTGTGTGGAGGAAACACAGAATAGGGAGGGAGAAAAGAAACTCTGCTGCTAGAGAGATACAAAAGATAGTGTTTTATCTTATTTCCCTGATATTCTCCCCTTTCTACCTCATGTCAGCTTGTGAACTTCACTTCACTTCACTGTGAAGCTTCTGTCAGCCTTCTTCTCTATCTGAGCCAAGACATACAATCAAGGCTGGAAATGTACATATAATTTGCAGAAAGTGACAATTAGCTTTTGAGACCAAAGAGAGGGGGAAGGAATCTCTGGGCTTCAACAAAATGGCGGCATCCAGCAAAAAAAAAAAAAGACAGGAGCAATGCTGTCAATTTACAGCACACATTAATTTTGGTAGCATAATTAGGTATCACCCCAGTACCATTTTTTAGAGCCAGCTGCCGGTTGCTCAGGCTCTCCGGCCCCACTAGGAGACCCGTGCAACCAGTTAGTGCATCCGCCAGCTGTGGTAACCTGGAAGTGATGATCTAATATCACTTCCAGTTTACCATGGTGTCATCAGCACCATTTTAAAAAATCAAAAGCATTTGAAAACACCAGTCTTGGTGTTTTGAATGCATTTGAGGGCAGAGGAGGGATTTGGGGTCTTACAGACCCCAGATCCCTCCATAAAGAGCAATAAAAGTGCTAAAAAAAAGTTAAAGCACAGGGCCCCGTCTTGTGTTGGTCTGGTCTCACCCACACTATTTTCAGTAGGGCTGTCAATGGCGAACAGTGAAAACCCTGCACTGAGAACATCCAGGGCCAGGCTTCAGGCATAAAAAAACAAGAAAAAAGGCAAAATCATTTACAAATCCAAAATCCCAATCTGTTTTAAAAAAGAAGAATGTATTGATGACTTTTTATCATAATATTCAAGGTCTTCTCAATATTCCTAGCTAGATATGTGCAGAATGAAAACATGTTTAGTTTTGATTCGTTATTTAAATAATCTTGTTTAGTTAAGTTCATTAAGTTAGTTTAATTCATTTTGGGAATTTTTTTTGTTTTGTTGCTGGTAGATGGTTGTATTATTTCTATTCAATTCCATTCTATAGTTTTTTTTCTATTCTGTTCTACTATATTCTTTTATTTTCTATGCTATTCTATTCTATTCTAATAAATTATAATAAGTTCGAATTTATTCTATTCGAAATTTGAATTTTGGAAGATGGCTATATTCTATTCTATTTTATGCTCTTCTATTTTTCCTATTCTATTCTATTTTTTTTCTATTCTATTTGACTACAAATGTATTGTATTTGAATTCAAATTTATTGTATTCAGAATTAAAATTCTGGAAGATGGTTATATTCTATTTTTTTCTTTTCTATTGTTCTTTTCTGTTCTATTCTATTTTATTCATATTTAATTTATTGTATTTAAAATTAAATTTTTTAGAAGATGGTTATATTTTTTCTATTTTAATACTTTCTATCCTATTCTATTAAAATTTATTTTGTTTGAAT